GCCGCCTGGAGCTCCTTGGAGGAAGGGTGGGGTATAACTGATACAGATTGATTGATGGGGATAAATGGTTAGGTGTGAAGGTGATCTTTTCTAGGTTTTTTGGCTGGTAGATAAGTCTTTTAATCCCTTAGTTTTGGGTTTTTCAAAAACGAGCACAAGGTTTTTATTTTGTAGTAATACATCTTTTATAGGTGCAATGTTGCAACTGTATCAGTAATAAATGACATTGATGATATTTTTTATAGCTCAACATGGTGTATTTATAAAATGAACTTATCAAAATACACTTTGCCCAGAGATGCTCCTATTTTGGGCTAAGAAAACACTTTTTACAGTTCATGAGCCCTGCCCCAATGATGGTATCCATGCTCAATCCCTGAGATCTTCAGGGGAGTGCCATGGCTTGTATCCAGAAAGCATTGTGTGTTCCCTATTGTGGGCCTGATTCTGAGGAACTCCTTCCAGCTGAGGTCAAGACAGCCCCACGCCCCTGTTGAACTTCCATCTCTTACTGAAGACTTTCTTATTGAAGGAGGCTTTTCAACGGAATTCTGATTTTATAGTTTAAACTCATTTTTATAGTCTTCTTGCACTGGATCCCTTGAACACAGCTTAGAGAAGACTGTGATTAAGCATTATGCAAATTGTTTAAATCAATCAATTAATAGGACAGCCTGGTCTCAAAGAGCCATTCTCATCCAGGTGTGGGGCAGGTAAGGGCAGAGCTTGGCTGAAGGGGACTTTGCACCTACTTCCCAAGCCCGTAAGTACCAGCTGATCAATGGGCATTTGGAGAGCACTGTGCTCAGAGCTTCCCAAATGCCAAGCACCAGGCACTTCCAAAGGTTTCTTTGCAGATTCCTTTGGTGGGGAAAAAAATGCTCTGATCTTAAAAGGAATTTTCTTTTTCTTCCTAAAAGAAGCAATTTGTATTCAAAGTGCTGGGGAAGGTGCTTTGAATGCAGACTTTTTACTTCTAGTTTCACAAACATTTTACTCTCTCCAGAGACTTCAAAGGGGCTCTCTCTAACTGACCAGCAGCTGATAGTTGGTTAAAGGGAGCGCCTTTGATGTATCTTTGAAGCAGTTGCTCTAGTGATCTCTTTTGAACTTTGACAGGTGTCAATCACCCAGTCCCACCCACCTGCCCAAGTTGGCCCACAGTAGGTGGGGAAGATAGAGATCTGGCCCACCAGGCCAGAGAAGGATCTCATGGCAAGTACAAACAAGGGAAGTGGTGAATAATTCTGGAAGGTGAAGAGAGCAGGAAAGGACAATGGAAGGCCAAGGGAGAAAGGGTGTTGCAGCTGAGACAAGAGGTGATCGGAGCAGGAGCCAGAGTCTTAGCCAAGGGGATGCAGAGAAATAGGCATATATTCTTTTCGCAGAGTTTGAATGTGGAAAGCAAAGGAGCAGGTGGTTTTGATGCCTGGTCAATATAGTGGATGGTGACATAGTCAATAGACAGGGAGAACAGTCAAGAAGATAAGGCTCTGAAAAGAAAAACGAGCTGTTCTTTCTTGGTTAAATTTGAGACCTCAACTTGACATCCATGTAAAAATATCAGAAATACAGTTAGGGTGTGGGGCTGGGAGAAGGACTAAGGCCCTAAGCAGAGGTCCCATGGTGCTGGTGACAGTCTTATGGTGGCCCTGCTGTGCCCCTGCCTGGACAGGGATAACCTCACTTCTGTCATCTGTCCCCTAGGTTAGATTACTGCAACATGTTATACATGGGGCTGCCTCAAAGACAGCTCAGAAACTTCCAGTGGTGCAGATTTCAGAGGTCAGGTTGCTCACCGGGGCAAGACAGTTTGAGCATATACTGCACTGGCTGCCAATTAGCTTCTGGGCCCAATTCAGAGTGCTGGTTTTGACCTATAAAGCCTCAAAGAACTCAGGACTGCAATACCTCAAGGACTGCCTCTCCCCATATGAACTGACCCAGACCTTGCATTCATCATCTGAAGCCGCCTTCATGTGCCTCCTCCATGAGAGGTCCAGAGGATGTTAACACAAGAACGGATCTTTGATGCAGTGGTTCCCCATCTGGGGAAGGCTCTCCCCAGGGAGATTCATCTGGTGCCTTAATTCCATGTCTTTAGATACCAGGCAAAAACATTTCTCTACAACCAAGCCTTTGGCCGATTGAACACATAGCCTTTTAAATGTGTTTGTGGGAGGGGGGCTATTGGTTTGTTCTTGTTCTGTTATGTATTTTGTGTTCTCGTTTTGTGTTTTATGTTGTGAACAATCTTTGGATAAATAATAAAAAAATGTATATATTTATTAAATTTCTACACTGCCCTTCATCAGGGCGGTTCCCAATAGAAGAACACAAAATGCATGTAATGATCATCACCGTCATCTCGCTCCGCGTGTTATTGTGATCCAAACAAAACCACCAGGTGGCGCTGTTGCTGCATGCAAGCCCGCGTCCTTGGCCTTCGCAGGCTGCAGCAACGAGGTTTCGCCTCTGCAAGGCATTGTTAGTTTTGCAAGCCCGTGGGGGTGGGGTCTGGCGCAAACCCCAGAAGGGTTTTTATCTCTCACCTTAAATTCTCTAAGACTGAGAGAATCTAAAGCAACGATAGCAATCTGGTGCAGCCACGATGCCTTCGAAAAGAGACTGTCTGGATGCGAAGCAGGGCAATGTGTCAAACAAGGGTGTTGCCCTGAAGAGTCCGAAATTTGCAAAACTGGAAATGGCACTCCTTACTTAGGGTCTCCTTGTGACCGCCTGCTTGTAAGAAGTTCTCTCCTCTGCTGATAGCCTGCAGGTGCTGATGGAAATAATGCGTTCTGAGCCAAAAGTTTTTCCAAGGAAAACTTTGGTGCAATATTTTGGGGATCAAAGCTGTTTGATTATTATTATTTTTAGCGCCACCACCTGTTTTGTGGCAGTGGCCCTTGCAGTGGTCAGGGGCTGGCTGATTTCACCCCTCCCCACTTGAATGTCCCTCAAAATAACATTGTTTTTCTGAAGTGGGGAGGGGGAATCATGTTGGTTCCCAGGTAGAACACCACTGAAAAGTTCCCCTTTTCACCACTGTATTTTGCACCACCAAAAACCACCCAGATCACCATCTTGTTTCAATTTATTGTACAAAATGGGGGTGGGGGCCATTTTGGTTCACATTAACCCCACTTAATGCATTGGCTCTTTCCCTCCACCAGGATGGGGGCTGTATTTGAATGGTCCACCCCAGAGACTGATGGGATCTGAGTGATTTCTGCGCTCTCAAACAGCTTCCTGTTGGCACGGTGAGCATTTCTGACAGAGCCGCCGTCACACTGCGGGACGCAGGCATGACTCAGGCAGCTGACATAATCACTTCTAAATGTCCTCTCCCTCTGAGCAGAGACTGTTCATCCCCTTAGGAGCAATGAAGCGGTTCGTGAAATGGCTGGAAGTCAAGTGAAGAATCCAGCTAAACACAGGGGAGAATGTAGAGGCGGCATCATCAGGGGTCTGTCAAGGAGGTGTCCGGATCCGGCCTCCAAGGAACGTGCCACTGCTGTTGCTGCCACTGTGGTAGCAGCAGCAGCGGGTGCTTCATTCATTGGAGACCAGAACTGCTGCCCCTGTGGATCCTGCCACTTGAGGCAGTTGCCTCACCTTGCCTCATGGGTGGGCCGGCCCCAAAGCCTTATACAATACAGAACTTGGATACCTGAAATATTGGCTACAGCCCAACACCCCAGCATGCACCGTAAGGCCATCATTGGAGGCCCTCCTCTGGACTCCCTCGCTTTCTGAGGGGGAGAAGTGTCTTTGCTGGGGCGTCCTGCTTCTGGAATCCCTTCCCCTAGCAGGCCTGTCTTGGTATCCACTCTCATGTCCTTTCACTGCAAGGCAAAATACTTTTTTGGTTTCCCGGGCCTTTTGAAAGTTAGCTGAACACATTCTTATTTTGTTGTGATGTTGATGGTTCTTTGCTTTCTCTGCTGCTCTATAAATTTTTTATTTTAATTAATTAAATTAATTATTTCATGGTTGTTTGCTGACCAGAAAGCTATGCTAGAAAGAAAGAGAAAGAAAGAGAAAGAAAGAGAAAGAAAGAGAAAGAAAGAGAAAGAAAGAAAATTTAAAAATATATAAAAATAATGCACCATAATGTAGCCTCCATGTTTTAGAGCCACCAGTGACTTCTGAAATGGGTTTTGAGATCTAGTCATCTACAAACTCCAGCAGGAATTCTTCACTGAAGCTGGTTCTTTCCTTGTTCTAGATGTGGAACTGACATGGTAACGAAACACTTTCTAGGGATATATTTACTTCTCCTTTGGCAGAAACCCTGTTCCCCTTTTTAGGACAGCTATTTATAGGAGTAAATGTATCTGGAAGAGGTTCTTGGTGCAGACTCTCCTGTTGCTAGGTCTGGCTTAGAGTAGATGAAGGCATCCTAGGAGACTCAAAGATCCTTCCCTGTCAAGTCTCCTAACTATGGGGGGGGGGAGAGCAGGGTGTCTCTTCAGTGAGAATATAGTTGTGTGTGATCAAGTGGAGGATTTCTGGCTTATACAGTGATTTAACAATGTCCCAAGCACATGGACAAAGAATTTAGAAAGGTGCCCGTGTGACTCCATGATCGATGGTACAGCACAGACTGGCAACCTTGTCAAGTCAAGAGTTTACTTACTTGGGCTAAGTAAAGTCCTTCAGATTTATGGGGTTATGAAGATTATGCTTCCCAGTATTCTAGAGGTTGCATATACTTTATGAAAGCTTATAGTATACCATGTGGTTGTATTTTAGACCCTTTAGTATCATTCTTATATTAAGCAGGTATTACAGCTGCTTCTGCTAGACTTTATATATTCTGTACAAGTTACACTTTTATTTGCATTATTTGTTTGTTTGTGTCAGCCTGTTCAGTTTTATTATTTAAAGAAGTGATGTGGCACAATCCTTACTTATTGACTCTGGTGGTGTTCACATTACAGTGCTTTATAGAAGTTTCCCCCCAGGTTATATAACCTTTTGTTTTTATCCCTCAGAGGGACCAAGGCAGTTTCTGCGCCAAAACTAATCCTGCAAACCAGACTGAAATGGTTCCTGAAAATCAGTTGCATCAAAAGTGACTGAAATTGCATGGAAGCCACACTACTGAGCACCATTCCAAAAAAGCAGTATTTGTTTTAATCCTTGGAGTCCAAAGTGAGCTTCTTTAAGATCAGCCTCACAACCATCTCTTTCCAAGTTGGCTTGAGTTGTTCTCTGCGACAAATAAGCATTGATGGTCTCCTGGACCCAACCAGTCAATCCTCTTTAGCCAGGTGTTAAAAACCAAAAAGGGCTAAGGGTCAAAAGGGCAAGTGGCTAGATGCAAACCACCAAGCACCTTGTCCACATTCTCATGCTCAACAATTGAAAATAATTCAAGAGAGACAGACATCCATAGACTGAACTGTCCTACTGGTAGCATCTCAGCTGAGGCTAATGCAAGTGATTTTACCCTTAAAGTATTTTGCAGACGATCACAGTGGACCACTACTGCTCTTTTGACTCTCCCTGAGGTCTTAGCTGGAGAAGACTCCAAACCATTTGGAAATGCTCTGCTGGACAGTACTCTGAGGATGCAATGATGAAGTATTTTTTTTCCTTGGATGCCACGGCCACCACAGGATTCCCTGAGGATCTTTAGCCTCTTGGATTCTAGTCATCTCCCTAAATGCTTCATTGCCCCCAGGTCTCTGGTCAACCAGAAGGCAAACAGGATCTGTTTAGCAAATGAAGGTTCCTACGGGCAGTAGTGAAAACTACCTGAGTCATCTCCATATCCCACAGAGTCTCAGGGGCTTTGACAGAAGCACCAGCCACATCAACTGGAAAGTTTCAGGGGATTATCAGGAATCCAAAATGATCCACCAGCTTTCAGGGGTGGGTCATCCTAATTGGTCTACCATCTTGTAGAGGGAATTGTCACAGAAAAGCTGAACATCAGCAGAAAGTGACCAGATCATGATAAAGATATAAAATTCCCAATACATTATTCTGGCCAGCGAAGAGCATCAGGTCCTGTGGATGACTTGCCCCAATGAGGTGGTTGTCATGGTGGTAATGGAAGGCCTGTCAAGGCAGCCTCAGCATAGATGCTGAGATCCCCCAAGAACTAAAAGCTTGGGAATCCTCAGTATCATGTACTGTGTCCAGTTTTGGGTGCCACAATTTTAGAAGGATATTAACAAGTTGGAACATCTGCAGAGAAGGGCGACCAAGATGGTCAAGAGTCTGGAAACCAAGCCTTAGGAGGAATGGTTGAGGGAGTTGGGTGTATTTAGCCTGGTAAAGAGGAGACTAAGAGGAGATATCTTCACATATCTCAAGGGCTGTCACATGGAAGATAGAAGCAGCTTGTTTTCTCCTGCTCCTGAGGAGAGAACTCAAACCAATGGATTAAAGTTTCAAGAAAAGAGATTCCAACTGAACATCAAGAAGAACTTTCTGATGGTAGGTGGAACAGACTCCCATGAGAGGTGGTGGACTCTCCTTCCTTGGAGGTTTGTAAGCAGAGGTTGGGTGGCCATCTAGTTGAGATTCCTGCATTGCAGTGGGTTGGACTAGATGACCCTCGGGATCCCTTCCAATTCTATAATTCTAAGATTCTATGCCTAAGGCTGCCTCTGTTAACTTGGGCAGGGAGTCTCTTAGGTGGTGGGAGGTGCGTGGTGCATGAGGAGAATAACCATTCTCTTCCTAGTGTTCAATACTGCATACAAATACTTAAACCCAGGACTCATCCAATTAGGAAATCTGGAGAGGGAGATTATTTTTATAGACCACAGTGACACACACACAGACAGATGAGGGCATCTGAACTCTCAAGTGATGTGTCAAAACGCAGGTGGACAGAGCTCAGATAGATTGCCACCTCTAAGCTTGTCCTTTCTCTGTGTGTGCTTTACATGCACACACAATGTGTGTCCATATGTGCACATGCATTCATGTGACCAGCTTCCTGCGGGGTCAAAATGTACTCATGTATATTGCGACATATTCCCCCTCCTTCCCTCCCCCACCCCTGCAAAAAGAAGCTTGATGTGGGTCAGCTTGTTTCTCCCGCATTGCCCTCCCACCTGCTACCCCCAGGCTGGCGAGGCTGGCTGTGGAATGCCATTCATGCCTTCCTGCTCGACTGGACAGGACAGCTGAGACGCCCACACAGTGTGCGCTTGGTGTGTGTGTGTGAGTGTGACAGGCAGCCTTTGAGCATATGCCACAGGTGATCTAGAGGGACCCAGGAGAAGGGGGACGCACTTTCCGCTCTTCCTTCGGCAGCGCTCTCTCCTTTCCAAAAGTAGTGAGGAATGAGTGGGTGGTGAGTGGCACACACACATTGCGCTTGGCTAACAGCTTCCCTCACCCCAGGAGGTGAGGAGAGATCTGGAGAGGAGCCCAGCACATTGCGGCGTCCCTGATGTGACCTATCACTGTGCTGTTGGGCGGATTCCACCACCGCCTGACAGCACGGCGCTTGGCATGTGGGGAGTCTTGGGCAGTTGCTATGGCGCCTTCTCTCTCCCTCCCTCCCCATCCCCAGCACGTCTCCCCCCCCTTCCATTCAGCTCTGCTGAAACATTTCAGGCTGCAACATCTGTGCTTCTCCAGTTTTGTCTCTCTCCCGGAACAGGCCCCGCCGTAAGAGCTGCCTAATTGTGCCACAGTTTAGTGAAGAGGAAAATGTCAGAGAATGGCTGGGCTGAGAGCATGCCTGCACCCCCAAATTCAAAGCAAGGCCTGCTGGAATAGGAGGAGCCGTTGTGTCTGCCTCTCCCTCTCCGCACACCCCACATGGCCACAGCACTCTTAAAATATTAACTATGCTCCAATCCTGCAGGGGGCTGAGTGCCTCCTGAAAGGAAGGAAGGCATTCGAGGGGCTGGGAATCTGCCCTTTGGGGATAGAATCTCAGTGGGGAGTTCAGCATTTTATGTTCGCTAATTATGCTGTGGTTTTCTGCAGGGAGAATCTTGTCCCTCATAAATCAGCTGCAGTTTCTAGTACTGTGAAGCATGAAGGAAGGGGGAGTTTTATTTTTTGTCTTTATACTGCATTGGCTGGAAGAATGAAATCATCACTTTTCAAGGATGCTGGTGGAACTGGGGACAAAAGGGGCTCAGGCAATGAAGGTCAGCGCATGTCTGAAGAAGTCTGCGGGAGGATATGCATCTTGTTTTATTCTGGGTTGTCTTTTGATGGCTGTTTTTGGCAGTCTCAAAATGTGACGGGCCGACGGACAGGCCCAGCAGCTTTTTCAGCTGGCAAGATTGTCTTCGCTGTCCCTTGTTGAAACTGATTCATTTGTCCCCTTGAATAGCTTGAAATGTGTGAGTCCTTAATAAAGTGTTTCAGGTTAACTTTTAAGCTCTCCTTTTTAGTTCACTTCTCTCAGTCATAGAATCATAGCACTGTACAGTTGGAAGGGTCATCCAGTCCGACCCCCTGCAATGCAGCCGCAGGGCAGACAAACGGGTTACAAAAATAGCACCCAGGTCCCATAGAATTGTGCAACTTTCTCTCCCGGGAGGCAGAGGGGAAGGTCTGCCCATGGAGGCCTCCTTGCTGCAGTTGCAGAAACCTCTGCCTTCCTCTGCCGTCAAGAGTTCTGAAGACAATGGTAGCAGGAGGGGAAAGGGGTGTGTGTAGATCAGGGAGGCTTCAGATCTGCTGGATCCAAAAGCCCTTCCGTTCTCTGACACCTATCCAGAGCAGGGGCCCTGGTGTACTCGCTTTCTGTCCTATTGGGAGCAATGGGAGGGACTTACTTTTAAAAAAGAAAGTTGAGGCAGGGTTGGGAGTGGACACACACGCTGCCTCCATTTTCTGCCCTGCCAGCAATGCATGGGCCTGCCAGGACTCAGGATCTGGAGATTCCTGTACCTCGGGTGCTCTTTCCTCTGCTCGTTTTGGACTGCTCTGCCTAGGATTGATATTGTTATGGGTTTCTGGGGTACCAGAGTTTGTGGGTAAAGGTAAAGGTAAAGGGACCCCTGACCATTAGGTCTAGTCATGACCGACTCCAGGGTTGCGGCGCTCATCTCGCTTTATTGGCCGAGGGAGTCGGCGTACAGTTTCCGGGTCATGTGGCCAGCATGACTAAGCTGCTTCTGGCGAACCAGAGCAGCGCACGGAAATGCCGTTTACCTTCCCGCCAGAGCGGTACCTATTTATCTACTTGCACTTTGACGTGCTTTCAAACTGCTAGGTTGGCAGGAGCAGGGATCGAGCAACGGGAGCTCACCCCGTCGTGGGGATTTGAACCGCCGACCTTCTGATTGGCAAGTTCTAAGTTCTGTGGTTCAACCCACAGCGCCACCTGCGTTTGTGGGTGGCAGACCTTTTAACCCCTGGACCCAGCAAATGTAAAACTGTAAGCCTGTCTGGCTTCCTGGAGAGGTGGGCTGCCAGCAGAAAACAAAGACAGGGTGATGACTCATCAAGAAAACCACCAAGGAGGCCTGGGGCCCTACTCTGAGCTCTGAATTAGCTAGAAAGACCACACCAGAGTATGGAGGGAGAAGTGTCAGGATTGCAGTTGGTGAGGACGTAAGCTGAAGGAAAAAATAGCTGTGTTTTCAAGCAGTTTTCAAGCTGGTGGAAGGGGAGTCACAGCACAATGTGGGTTGGAAGTTTGAAAACAATGTGGTCACGTTGGGAGTAACAGGACCCTCAGAGTGTAACGCCAGAAGCCCCTCCATCACAGCCTCTGGTTGTATACAGGTGTAAATAAACCATATATCATAAAGACACCACCATCTCCGCTGTGCCTTATTTTCAAAGGAAACACAAATCTTGGGTCAGCGCCTGGAACCCCTGGAATCTCTTGCTGCTGTGGAGATTGGGGGGCTGTGTAAGAGTATTCATGGGAGGCAAGGTGTTGATTGCTTTAGGCTCCGTTAAGATTAGCCATTAAACTTTCATGTCGAGAGGCTGCGTGCTGTTAAATGCCAAGCAGGAGATGACCACGACCTTCATGCCTCTCTGGGTGGGAGGGCAGGGTGACTGTGGAGGCCGGGAGAGCTGCGCTTTGGTCTGGTGCAGCAAGACAGTGCTTATGTTTTTATATAAACATCCAGAATGAAACCCTTTCAGCTTAATGCGTGTGAGGGGTTACAATACCCAGACCTGAGAGGGTGAGAGACGGGGGCAAAGGAAACGGATTTCATCCAGTTCTGTTAACAGCAGCCCGGCAGATCCTCCCTGATTCAAAGTGAACACCAGTCCAGGGGAGAGGAGCAAGTGGGGAGGATCCCAGAGCAGGCCGCTGCCTCTGAAGGCAGACAAGGCACCGCAATATATTTTGCATCCTTCCCCCTCACAAAACAAGTTCACTGTCTCCATCAGTGGCCATTCTGCCTGGTTTGTGAAGAATTTGCGATTTGCTTGTTTTCCTCTTCCCTTCCCAATCCATTTCCTTTTTGCATTGTGCCTACTTGATCGTGAGCCTGTGGGTGAACACTCTTTTTCGTTCACATGCATCTCCCAAAAAACATTGAGTATATTACAACTGGTGCTGTTGTGATTACTCAATACAACAAACTAGCAATTTGGTGTTCATTTATTTCTTCTGAACATTTATATTCCACACTATCCTCCACAGAACTGTTGAACCTGAAATCCAGAATCAGGGACGCCAACCTACATAAAATAGTGGGGGTGGGGAGAAGGTAAGCCCTGCCCCACATAACTGATCACATGACATGGCATGCACACACCATTTGGAAGCAAAAGCTCTGAAAAGGCTCAATATGGAGGCCAAATGGCCGACATATTGGGAAATTTTGGAACAAGAAGGAGATAAATTGAGATTGCAGAGTTTCGAAAAACTAAAAAACAAAGTGAGAGATTGGCTTCATTATTATCAGATAATGGAGGCATATAATTTGGATAAGAAAATTGGCTTCCAGGTGGAAAAGTCAAAATTAGAAACAGAACTGCTAGAACCCAAAACTAAGAATCTGTCAAGAATGTATAACTTGCTGTTGAAATGGAATACTCAGGATGAAACGGTGAAATCTGCTATGATTAAATGGGCACAAGATGTTGGACATAATATTATGTTTGCTGACTGGGAACAGTTATGGACCACAGGTATGAAGTTTACGGCATGTAATGCCTTAAGAGAGAATATTATGAAAATGATATACAGGTGGTACATGACCCCAGTCAAGCTTGCAAAAATCTATCATTTGCCCGATAATAAATGTTGGAAATGTACAGAAACTGAAGGTACATTCTTTCACCTTTGGTGGACGTGCCCAAGGATTAAGGCTTTCTGGGAAATGATTTATAATGAAATAAAAAAGGTATTTAAATATACCTTTCTGAAGAAACCAGAGGCCTTTCTCCTGGGCATGGTCGGCCAATTGGTGCCAAAGAAGGACAGAACTTTTTTAATGTATGCTACAACAGCAGCAAGAATACTCATTGCAAAGTATTGGAAGACACAAGATCTACCCACCCTGGAAGAATGGCAGATGAAGGTGATTGACTACATGGAATTGGCGGAAATGACCGGCAGAATCCGAGACCAGGGAGAAGAGTCGGTGAAAGAAGACTGGAAGAAATTTAAAGACTATTTACAGAAATATTGTAAAATTAAGGAATCTTAGAAGGATGTTGGATAGAAACTAAGTGGTTTCCAGCTGTAATGCTTTAAGAGATACGAAAAAAGGTTTATAAATGGCTAAAAGCTTAATGGTAAGGATTTGCTGAACTAACAAACTGAACTGGAATACAAAAAAGGGAGGTACGAGGAGGTCCGGGGAAATAAGTGTAAGGAAGATATGCTATGGAAAATTAACGTGTTTTTAACTGTTTTTATTTTGTATGTTTCTTTTTATTTTTCATTTCTTTGTTATATCTTAAAAATTTTATTCTTTTTTCTGTATTTTGGATTTTCTTGCATTTTTATTTTTTGTTTTGTGTAATTCTTGTATTCTTTGAAACTTTAATAAATATCATTTTTTAAAAAAATGAATAGCAATGCCTATCAGCTTGTGGGGGGGAGGGGACTCAGATATTTTAGTGGTGGAGCTTGGCCCCTAGGAGTTGGCTCCCATGTCCAGAATTATGCCCCCAACATCATTCCAGAGACGCTGGATTGGGCCTGCAGCTGTGGGAGGTGTGCTTTTTGTTTTAAAGGCCTTTCCTTTGCATGCTTGAAATTGCCCTCCCGAATGCTTTGCTAACCAACAAATACCCATATTGTGCCTGGCCTTGGGTAAATGAAGTTTCTAAAATGCATTGTGTAACAAATGGCATATTTTCTATCTTGATCCTGGGAAGGAGGACGTCGCGTGTGAAAAAAAAACCAACTTTCTTCTTTGGTCTGTTTTTGTTACAAGCTTCTGTCTCCTTTATCTTTCCCCTCCTTTAATTCTTCTTCCTCCTTGTTTCCCCTTCATTGTGCCAGGGCCCTCCATGGACAGACTTCTGAAAAACAAACTGGGCAGAGACAGCAGGTATGAAGAAACAGCGCAGCCCGGTTATTCAGAACAATGGCAAAAGGCTAAATAACAGGGACCACAATCTAGTCCTCTTTCTAATATTTATTTATCACAGGTATGTATGTATTGGCATAGATCTAGGGTACCAGAGTATGCTAGTGAATGGCAGAACTTAATAAACGGTAAAATTTAGATAATATTTGGGATATGAAGGGAAAACACAAGCTGCAGAACTGTGCTAGACAAGAAATTACTGGCTTAGCTTATGCAGACCAGCCTGCCAGGCTAGCTAAGTCAGAGCCATTGAGAAACAAGGAAGAGCCAAGCCCTGGGCCATTGAGGGCTATTGGCAGGGCCGGATTTGGGTTTGATGAGGCCCTAAGCTGCTGAAGGTAATGGGGCCCTTTATATGTCCAGCTGCCCTTTGTCAACAACAAATGGTCACTGTTTTGTGTGTGGAATATATGCTATGGTAATTTATGGACCTAATAGGCATCTAAAGGCATTTGCCACTGTTGCCGTATGTAGGTTTTATTTTACTTGTTTTTTATCTTATATTTTGGAAATTTACATCCAGTGGGTTTTTTCCCTTTAATTTTTTTTGGGGGGCCCCCAAGAGAGTGGGGCCCTCAGCTATAGCTTGTTTATCTTATACGTAAATCTGGCACTGGCCGTTGGCAATGCCTATCCTTCCCTGCTGCTTTGAGGAGTGGACAGAGACAGGAGATTTGGGAAGCTGCCAAATGTGTCCTTTTTGAAATCTAAAGTTGTTCTGGGAGCAAGAAGAAGGAAGGAGGCAGAACATCCGGTGCTGGCTGGAGGAGGCTGTACTGAGAGACCGGGAGCCATGACTCCCTGCTGCTTTGGACTCAGGTCCTGCAGCTATGAGGAGAAGGGCAACAAGAGAGGGTCTCGGGGTAATCATGTTCTGCACCCCCTCCATCAAAGACTCCAGGTGTAAATATGGGCAAAATAAACCGTGTTTCTCAACAACACTAGCCTCTGCTGGGCCTCAATTTTCCCAATGGAAACAGCCCTGAGTGAGTGCCTGGAACCCCCTGGAATCTTGCTACCACTCGGCAGAGATTGAAGGTGGTGCCCAACCTTCATGGCAGTATTTAGGCATTATAATCTTATTTATTTATTTGTGATGGGTGGACAGCTTTTCTGCTGAAATGCTGTAGCTCAGTGGTACTTTTGCTTGCAAAGGTTCCCAGGTTCAATTCCCAGGTGGGGCTGGGAATGGCCCTTGTCTGAATCTCTGGAGAGCTGTTGTCAGTCATGAGCAAGATGGAAGAAGGGTCTTGAGGGTTAGAACTTTGTGTTCCTGGAGAACCTCCCAAGGCGGTTTTCATAAAAGTGCACTTCTTCTCCAGCAATATGGATTGTTTATTGTGCTGAATAGTAGCTATAAAAACAGCTGCCTCTTTTACCCTGCGCTGTTACTCAGGGTCAGAGAGGCATCTGACGCCCTGGAAGGCAGAATAACTTCAGGAACTGTGACTTGTCCCTCCTTCTCCTCCTTTCTTTCCAACTTTAAGAATAGTTGAGTCTCCAATCTGTAAAGGCCATAAAAACCTGAAATGTCCCTTTCTGATTCTGTAGGGTAGTTTCCCTTTAAAGAAGTCTCTGGTTTCAAATTTGTGAGTTGTGGTTCCTTTTTTACAGTCTACACATAATGTTTACATTTATTTAGTTTGTCCTTAACTTGTGGATGAAGTGCTGCATCAAAAGGTCTTTACTCCATAGTGTTTGGTACAGGTATAGTCTTGTAAAGGCTTTATGTCCTCTTAACAGGTCAAAGCAACTCATGTAAAGTGTTCATGGTGCCAAGTGCCAATTAATAAACTATAGGTTCTCTTTTTTTAACATGGTCCTTCTGTTCACCAGGCTTTTAGGTCTTGGATGGTACAAGGAAATTGTCATAAACATTATGCCATTACTCTGGAGGTATTTCTGTAAGTTAACTGAAACACACAGCAAATGCTATTCTAGGCTACACCAAGAGTAGTAATAGTACTGCTCTTGGAGTCCCGTGTCCAATTCTGGGCACCACAATTTAAGAAGGATTCAACTTGCAAGAAAGGAGATTCCAACTAAACATCAGGAATAACTTTCTGATGGTAAGAGCTGTTCAACAGTGGAACAGACTCCTATGAGAGGTGGTGGAGGTTTTTGGGCAGAGGTTGGATAACCATCCGTCATGGATGATCTAGCTGAGATTCCTGCATTGCAGGGGGTTGGACTAGATGGCTCTTGGGCTCCCTTCCAAGTCTACAATTCTTTGATTCTGTGTTCCAATTTTTGCAACAAATGTCACTTCAGGTCATTTTAATTTTATTTAAAATATTTTAAAGGTTAGGGTTAGGCACATATTTCACAGCCAAAGAACAAAGATCACAGATTTTTCAAAAATGTATGCATCCCCCAAATTACCAAACTATGCTTGGGTGCTCCTCTTCCTCCCCCCCCCGCAGCACCCTCATACTCCCCCAAAAATTTGCTCTGGAAATTGAGAGATTCTCTGGGGCACATGGGAGTGGGGACCAGGGGGGTGGCGGTGGCAGAAATCTGAAGGGGGAAGGAGAGAAAGAGCAAGACTCAGTACACCCATTGATATGATTTTGCCCTCTGTGACTTGTCTATGACATATGGTTTGTAATTACCTCAGCTTGTCTCCATCTGGCCACCACAGTCTTGTCAAAGTAGCTGTTTAGTTAGAATCATTCCCAAATAAAAAAAAATCAAATATTTTATTTATTTACTAAACATATATACCACCCTTCATCTGTGGATCACAAAGTAGTTTACAGTATAAAAACACAAAAAATACATAACATAATGATAAACAAAACAAGAACCAACACCACCCTGTAAGTTTGTTAAAACAACAAAATTATAATTATTCACTTACTACGTAGAAGTCCTGCAAAGCATGTTGACTATCTGTCAGTTTTCCAGTATCTTCGTCTTGGAAGGCCTTCTTTTAACTAAATGGGCCTTCACTACTTGGTCTTTCCTTCTGGGTGCTGCTCATCCTGAAACTGAAACCATCCCTTGCATGTCTGTGTAATGATAACTTCTCCCTCATCATTAGATTTCACTTCATCCTCTAGTCTAGATGGGGTACAGGCAAGCGAGATAAGCAATCAGCAGTCACATTTGTGGCTCCAGGAAGACAGACAGTTTCAAAATCAAAGTCCATCAGCTTCACAGTTCATTTAGCAATTCTTTGGGTGGTCTTATTAGAACCTCTTGCGGTAAAGAGAACTGACAGACCTTTATGGTCAGATCTGAGAATAAATTTTATATCCTATAAGTAATTGCTTATCTACATTTACCTTTCCTCTGCACTTTCCAGGTATGTTCTGTACTTTAAAGCTCCAAGTACTATTTTTTATTTTTGTCCCAGAGCTTTCCCTGTGAAAAACTGCTCATTAAAGCAGAATCAGAGCTAACGGCAGTCTGCAAAAAAACGAATTGCCATTTGTTTCAGCCGTGAACCGCCCTGAGATCTCAGATGAAGGGAGGTATGAAGGGCAGTATACAAATTTAATTAGTAGTAGTGGTGATGGTGGTAGTAGTAGTAGTAGTAAGCCTGGAAAGAGTGGGGCAAAAGGTTAGTGTGGATAAGCCCCACGTCCTGAAATGTCTCCCACCTCTGTCACATGGGACTCGGGGCCCATACACACTTCTGTTTCTGCCATGATTTCAACTCATGGGTCCAAGAGGGGTTTTTATTTGTCCTGCCGCTTTCCCCAGGAAAACCTGCTGTTTACTGCTGAATCGGAACAAACATTAATTGGGTTTTCTGCGGGTTGACGTTTGTTCCGATTCAGCAGCAAAGAGCGGGTTTTCTCAGGGAAAGTGGCAGGACAACCCCCCCCACACCTCTTGGACCTGTGACTTGAAATCTGTGGGTGGGCCCTCAGTCAGTGTTTGGGAGCAGCAGTGGAATGCTAAATTTTTGTGAAATGTTTTAGAATTTCCCACTCAATTTTTACATCCTTCTCACAGAGATAGCACAAAGGGGGCTATTTGTGCAGCATGTTGCCTTACAGACTTTGAGCAGTGTTTGGAAAATCCAAGGAAAGACCAACAGTTGTCTTCATGGTCTGGCTCTGGAGCTTCATGACTCCTTTTTACTACACAGATTTTTACTAACCCTCTCTGAGTGCACCATAGGAGCACCAGTGAATTGTTTGAATTGATATTTCTTATTGAGTAGCAGTCCACATTGCTGAATTTTTTGGGGGACATGTTTCAGGATAATGCCATCTTCAGATTAATTCTTGCCGTATGCTAGGATACTGTCATGGAGGTATGTAATAGAATCATAGAATCATAGAGTTGGAAGAGACCACAAGGGCCATCGAGTCCAACCCCCTGCCAAGCAGGAAACACCATCAGAGCACTCCTGACATATGGTTGTCAAGCCTCTGCTTAAAGACCTCCAAAGAAGGAGACTCCACCACACTCCTTGGCAGCAAATTCCACTGTCGAACAGCTCTTACTGTCAGGAAGTTCTTCCTAATGTTTAGGTGCAATCTTCTTTCTTGTAGTTTGGATCCATTGCTCCGTGTCCGCTTCTCTGGAGCAGCAGAAAACAACCTCTCTCCCTCCTCTATGTGACATCCTTTTATATATTTGAACATGGCTATCATATCACCCCTTAACCTCCTCTTCTCCAGGCTAAACATGCCCAGCTCCCTTAGCCATTCCTCATAAGGCATCGTTTCCAGGCCTTTGACCATTTTGGTTGCCCTCCTCTGGACATGTTCCAGTTTGTCAGTGTCCTTCTTGAACTGTGGTGCCCAGAACTGGACACAGTACTCCAGGTGAGTCTGACCAGAGCAGAATACAGTGGCACTATTACTTCCCTTGATCTAGATGCTATACTCCTATTGATGCAGCCCAAAATTGCATTGGCTTTTTTAGCTGCCGCGTCACACTGTTGGCTCATGTCAAGTTTGTGGTCAACCAAGACTCCTAGATCCTTTTCACATGTACTGCTCTCAAGCCAGGTGTCACCCATCTTGTATTTGTGCCTCTCATTTTTTTGCCCAAGTGCAATACTTTACATTTCTCCCTGTTAAAATTCATCTTGTTTGTTTTGGCCCAGTTCTCTAATCTGTCAAGGTCGTTTTGAAGTGTGATCCTGTCCTCTGGGGTGTTAGCCACCCCTCCCAGTTTGGTGTTCTGGACTCACAATAAAAATGATAATGATGGGAGACTAACAGTACCCTCTGAGATGTATGTTTGAAGGATGTAGAGAAGGAGAAGTAGCAACAAATCTCACAGAGTGCAGATGATCAGGAATCATGGTGTTTGGTGAGCTGGAATCTACTAGCATCCACAATGCATTGTCACTTAACTCACAATCAGCAATGAGAAAAGAATGGATTTCAGTAATATTGAGGACACCGGCAGAGTTGTTCAACACCATGGAAATTCTGATACATTATGAACGGGGGGCTTACATGATTTAGCAAAATGTTCTTTTAAAATTGTATTTCTTGCATGTTGTAGATTTTGCTAGGACACATGTAAACATCTGTGTTTAGGAGTTCCACACCAGTAATACTGATCAGCCAGTTTGCGATTACAAAGGGGCAGAAATTTTCTTGCTAATAGTCTAATGCTATACTAAATATCTGGAGATAACAATCTAGCAAGTAACTATTTAGAACAGCGAAGAGCACTTTTCACCTCCCGAGCAATTTCAGTTGTTTTTTCAAGACTCAGACCCTTTTCCATGAGGAACTTCTCATGGATTTTGGGATTATTTGTCTTAATTGCAATTTGATCCTCTGTCATCTCATCTGCACAAAGAAGTATACAAGTTCCACTCAAGTCATGCAGCTGAGCTCTACATTGGTCAAAAGACTCCTGGGGTATGATTATATGAGAATTTAATTTACGATGTTCTGATACATCACTCAACATGGAATTAAAATCTTCATCCAGGACCCATATGACTGCATTGTTGCGGGCTGCGTCTTGCAGCCTTCAGGGCCAAAGCAATGTGTAAGCAGAGCCTTCTCTGTTCTGGAGAGAAGACATTAATTGCTATCGCTAGTACATAATTACTGAAAGAGAAATACGACTTCCATTGTTCCCATGGGAGCCTGGGATCACCAGCAGTGAGCAGGAAGAAAATGGGGATAAAATCTGTGACATGGTTGAAAATAGCACAAGACAGGCACTCATACTGCAGTCGTGGTTCCTAGATGAACAATAGAAACTGTGTCCACACAGAGGCATTATTTTGCAAGCAGGATGTTCAGTTTGATTTTTTGCATTCGCAATTTGCTTGCAAACACCCCCCCCCCTATTTCTCATTCACCATTGACCTTGCTGCTCCATCACTTACTGTCCACTTTAGTGGGTGAAGCCTGTTGGAAAAGAGTCCTGATATGTTCCTCCCTTCAGTTCCTCCTCCACTCCCTTTTTACATTCTGGGCTCATATGCAGGTATTTCTGTACGTTGTCTTTTTGAAGAAGAAAAAAGTCCCTAGAAATATGCAAGATCACAAAAGTAAATGCTTCACAATGGACAAACAAGTGGGTGGGAGGGCACTTCCCAGTTTTTTAAAAACCTTGCTGAGAGTTTTGCACAAGACTTAAATTTGCCTGAATCTAAACAACTGTGCGCAAGTTATCCCAATGTCCCCCGAAGCCTCATTGCTACCTCTTGAGACCTCTTTACCTTGTGATGTGTAACCACTCCAATCATTCTTCAGTGCGGATTATTTTATTTGCGGCCATAATTATATGCCCTCATGAAAATCCATATGCATTTAAGAGGGAATGTCTCCTAATATACATATTTTTGCAAAGCAGTTTCCCCAAATAGAATGCATTTTAATGTTTGTTCATTTTTACTAATATCTTGTTACAGATTTGCAGAGGGCAAGGATCCCCCCAAATTCCTGGGTGCCAGGTTCTACTCATAATGTGGGGTCAAGCCAAGTGCCTCAGGAGCTAGGCTTACAGTCTGCCATCCAAGAACAAAGACACGTGATAGTGGAGTCAAAAGGTGAGACATTCAGCATTAGACTAGAAAGGGTTGCAGGGGGCATGGTGTCACCACAGGAAAAGGTTCTGGAAGTGGAAGGGGAGGAGTTGTTTTCTGCAAAGGCTGCTGGGAAGAAGAAGGTGGAAGAAAGCAGAGCTCCTTGCGACCCTCGATGGAGAAGGCTGCACTCAGAAACCGGGGGTCACGACTGGCTGCTGCTTTGGACCCAAGCTTGCTGAAGCTATGAGAGGAGACCCTCTTAGGGTGTAATGTTCTGCATCCTTCCACTGAAGGCTTAGCTGTAAATATGCATAAAATAAACCATATTTCTTCCATATGCCTTGATTTTCCAACGGAAACACAACTTTGGGTGAACACTGGAACCCCCTGGAATCTTTCTACCTCTTGGCAGAGATTGTGGGTGGCATATAACAATCTGCGTTTTTGTCCACACCCTGCCCTAGTATATGCATTTGGGGACATATTACTTGGCTGCAGACCTGCATTGCAAAATCTGAAGAAATGAGGATTTTGAAAGATGGCCGAGTTTCTGTTTGCTTGTTGTGTCAAAAAGTGCAAATAGGGTAGGTTCATCTCTAAAGACAAACTGAATTGAACTGCTCCTCCAGCCCTACTTTGGAGTAATGGGGCTTACTTCTGAGTAGGCACAACTGAGACTGCAGTCTTGGACTTATTGGCCCTGGAACAGGAGGCAGCCGAGGCAAAGCAAGAGTAGTCATGCTTCACATGTGTGAAGCAGAAAGGAGGTCCCATCTGTCCTGAACATTTAAAGCAGCCATTGCTTCCCCCAAAGAATCATGGGAAGTGTAACTTGTGAAGGGTGCTGAGAGTTACAGACCAGGCCTGGCCCACCCATGAGGTGGGGTGAAGCAGCCACCTTGGGCAGTGGACGTCCCCAAGGCAGAGTGCCCCATGGGCGCTCTGCTGCCTCCACCTCTGATTTCTGGTGAGATCTTGCTGAAAATCAGTGCTGAAGCAGGTGTGGTGGGTGACACATTGTAGAGAGGAGGGCAGGGCAGCAGGAGACCCCATTTTCCTCACAGAAGTACAATTCCCAGAGTTTCCTGTGAAGAAGAATGGATTGTTAAAGCACTCTGGCAGACTCTCTTCCTCCATTCTCCCAAACGATGTGGTATGTATTTATTTAGAGTATTAATATCCTACCCTTCAGGATGACTTGCAATAAAATGGTTGACATAGTACAGTTAAATTGCTGTCCATTGTGTTTGGGTGGCAACATATACAGCATTTCTACCTATCTCCATTCTGCAATGATAGGGAAAGAAGTCAAATTGTTTTCCCAGACCAGTTGAGAAAGTTATGTACAAGCCCATCACAGAGTTCTACATACTGTGGCAAAGGAGAGTGATTTCTAGACAAAGGGTGGTCAGAAGGTAAACTGTAATCCACCGGTGGATCAGTGACCAGTTTTTGGTGGATCACTGAATGCCTGCTGGTTCCTGGGATTCTTCTTGCAAAGAATAACCAAAAGTGCATTCTCAGGATCACAGAAATTAGACTCATTAAGTGTTACAAGATCCTGAGCACACACTTTTGCTTTATAATTTTAAAAGGGATCACAGGGCTTCTAGATTTTTGAAAATGGAAGTTAGCATTTCCTGATGCCGTTTCAGGGGTAAAAAACAAGCTTAAATGCCAGTCCAGCAGTTGGATGTAGATGCTAGCAGCCTTGTCCCCTGAAGTGGAAGATGGGCTGTTCACATAAGCATCTTGAGCTGATTTTCAGGAATATGTTAGCAGTGATAATTGATTGCTACACATTCCACAACATTTTCAGGGCAAATGGTATTTCTTGTTACTGGAATGTAGTGACACTTGCTTTTGATAATATCGGCCCTCCACTGTGCTGGTCCCTGAGAACAACTTTTAAATCCTACAGAAATCCCATCCATGCCATTGGGGTCTATTACACCAGGCACCTTGCTTTGAATAGTTTATTATGAGCACAAGAGTGCTAGCAGAAGCTTCTTTTGGTCAAATCTCCCAAGTTATCTTGAACATTGTATATGAAAGTCATCTGAGAAACTGTTTCCTTTCTTATCCATCTTCACACACCTCTTTCCCCACCCCCACACTGTGTTTCAGCAGGAAGAAAGCCAAAAACAGAAAAGCAGAAACCAATCCATAAATTGCAACAGGCCATCAAGGATTCTGGAACAATAGCCCAGTCTCCCTCCCACGGGTCTCCCCATATACTTGACACTAGTTTGCAAAACCAATTAAATCCCCAGTGCCACTGATGTGAGACGTGCCCAGTGAAGCAGAAAGGATGGGGATAAAGGCTGACAAGGAAGGAGAAGAGGGGCATGTTGCTAATTGTGCCCCACCCCCTACAATTATGCCTCTTTGCGAGAGCAGTCCTGATCAGAACCATGGGATGCATGTGGCTTTGATGTGTGTGTATTTGTTGTGGTGAAACAGCATTGGGAGATGTTTGGGGAAATAGTCACTTGCATTTGGAGTGGAGCTATGGGATGAAGATGAACAGTTGCTTGGGACAGTGCAAGTTGGTGTGTGCGCACGGATATGACTGTATGCAACTAGCCAGCTGAGATCAGATAGTATAAGAAGGTTGGTATCCAACACTCACTGAGGAGGTTGATTTCTCTCTTTTTCCATCATCATATGTCCATGAGTCCATGACTCATTTCTGAGAATCCAATAGCTTGTCTGTTTAGGACATGCAAGCCTAGGTTTTGGTGGTCCTGTTGCCACCTCCCAGTTGTCCAGTGGATCCAAGGCTGGGAAACAAAGAGCTAAACTGATGATACGAAGCAAGAGATCAAGCAAGGATTGCGCCCTAAACTGGTCACAGGTCACTCTATAGAGAAACTGGAAAGGGAAGAGGTAGTGAGCAAGCAAGCAATGAATTGGGGGGAGCAATGGGAGAGCTGTGTGAATAGAGAAACAATGGCAGACAATCACCACAAGATCTGTAGGGTCTAAGAAGTCTAGTGAAGGAAGTGCACTAAGTCCTATAGTTTATTTCGACCTCTCTCTTTTCCACTCCATCCATGTACAGTTTGCGGTATAAATATTCTTCATAGCTGCTTCTTCTGTTACCTTTGCTTTACCATATCAGCCTTAGCATGACAAGACCATTCCGAGTGCAGGAAGCAACGTATTGTTCTGCCTCAAATTGTATTGTATTGAAAAACCAAATGCTTTCACCCGACAATAGTCCATGTGTATATTGATAGATGTTCTGATTTCTGGATTATTGGGTAAAGTATATTCTTCACAGTTTTATCATCTCCATAGCATGGAGGTGGCATTGGGATGGTTCTGGCCATTCAGCCTATTTCACAAAACTTTTTTTTTTTTAAAAAAAGAATAAAAGGCTAGAGAGCAATACTGTGGTTTGATCCTGCAATGGAGTGCAAGCAATCAGAGTGATAGCAATAATGTCAGCCTACATGTGACTCCTTAGAAGTAGGTCTCATTATTTTCAATGAAGCTTGCTCTCAGGAAAATGTTCTTGGATTACAAACTTGTTGTAGCTTTGACTTCTAATGCCTTCTTAGTCTGATGGCAGTCTGAAAAGCTTGTGCAGTCACTAAGAGACTGGCATTTCTCACAGAGGGTGCTACACGAAACAGTTATTTGTCATGTATGCATGCTCTCTTAATTTGCTTATCTGCAGGCAAGTTTAAGGTTGCTCATTAGTTTACATGGAGAGTAGTCCAAAACAGACTGGGAGGATAAAAGGCAGATGTTTGGAAAGTTTTCTGGCCCAAATGAAATCAGTGAATGTCTCAGATCCCAGGCAAATGTCCCAGATCTCCAGCAAACACCAGGAAAGTAGATCAACAGACCTAGATAGTCAACTTTCATTTAATAAAAAGTCAATTTCTATCTTTTATAGATACACCTAAAAACATTGGTTAGAATACTTTATTGCATAGCTATGACCATGCTGTGGATTCTGAATAACCTCATGAAGCCTCTAGAGATTCCCAAGTATGATGTGCTATCAAAATTCTAGGTCTCACTGGAATTGAAATAAACTTTCAAAAGTGAAGACACTTTTTCAAAGAATAGTGTTATAAGTTTGAGGGTACCAGACTCCCCTAAATGTCTGGGTCCAGTAGGGGTTAGAATTTAATCAAGGCAAATGTAAAAATATAAGCCCACTCAGTTTCCTGATCAGGTAATCACCTAGGAGTTGAGCCATTTGGAGAACAAAGGGAAGGTAATGAGCCATTAGGAAAGCCAAAGAATTATAGAATTGTAGAGTTGGAAGGGATTCTGAAGATCATCTAGTTCAACCCCATGGAATACAGGAATATGCAGCCGTCCCATACAGGGATTTAACCTGCATCCGTGGCATTATCAGCACTATGCTCTAACCAGACCACAAATGGGAGGGACCTCTCCCTCAGCTCAGAGTTAGTTAGCAGGCAAAGGCAGAGTTTGAAGTAGAGTCTTAGAGTTGAATTTGTGCGGTGTAATCTAGAGGGGGGCAGGAAGGAAAGCAAGTTGGAGAGAGGGGCAGAACACAATGGCTGATATTTGCTTTGAATCCCGTGTCTACGGGAAGCAAGACTTTCTTGGGGTGATTATGCTGTGAACCCCTCAGTCGTAAGCTCAGGTTGTATATATGTGAAAATAAACCATATGTCATAAAGTTGCCACAGTCTCAGCTGTGCTTCACTCCCAAAAGGAAACACGGACCCTGTGTAAACGTGCCTGGAACTCCTGGAATCTCGCATCCCTGCTACAATATGTATTCTTTCCAGTCCAAGTACTGCGCCCAACTGGGAGAGCCAGGACATTGCCTCAACAATCTGGACTTGTAGAGTAGCTACCTTTAAGCCTAGATAGTCCATTGATTCATTCTGTCAATTTTCAAACTCAAATGTAAATGGAGCAAAATGAGTTGGACACCAAGGCTTACAATAGTGGCATTGCCATTGGTATCTAATCAAGCCATTTAAATGGCTTCAGTGAAACAATATTTGATATGGTTAGAAATACCCAATGATCATTATAAGCCTTAATTATCTCCCACAGAAAATTCAGCTTTCAGTGTCGGTATCAGAACATGGAAAAGAGCAATATACATTATCTTTCTACAAAACGATTATTTTTTGTTTCAGGTTTGGTTTTGGGGGTGGTTTTTTGTTTTTTGTTTTGGTCAGTCATACATTTCTGAATAGGTTTCTTTCTTGACAAACTCAGATTACATAATTAAAAAAAACTTAATATGGACAAAGTTCCCAAAATATGAATCTGTAAAATTTATGAAGAAGTAGCACACGTCAAGTAAAAATCAAAATAGTCCTGGGCTGGACAGAAAAGTCCTGTAGAGATCAAAGGGCTTTCTGTGGTTATCCATTGATTGTTCTCAATAATAATAATAAATAAACTGCGAGAAGTGAGGTTATAGGGAACCAGGCAGAGGGCCTTCTTGGTAGTAGCGCCCGCCCTGTGGAACGCCCTTCCACTAGATGTCAAGGAAATAAACAACTATCCGACTTTTAGAAGAGATCTGAAGGCAGCCCTGTTTAGGGAAGTTTTAAATGTTTGACCTTTTATTGTGTTTTTAATTTTGTTGGGAGCTGCCCAGAGTGGCTGGGGAAACCCAGCCAGATGGGTGGGGTAGACATAAATTGTTGTTGTTGTTGTTGTTGTTGTTACATTCCAAGGCTTGAAACTGAGGCCAATGGGCATGATATTGTTATTATTAA